TCTGATGTCCTGGAAATGACCCTTCGCTCTGTAGTCGCTGTGATGTGTGGTAGTGCTTTGGGTGCATCTGCTTACTTAGCTTTCTTGTAAACGCTTGGCTGCTCTTGTTTTTACATTAAGTGACATTTAGAAAGCTAGAGAGTGCTAATTGCATAAAACCAAGTGCTTTAACAAAATGGTCTAAAGCAAAACAAAGGGGATGAAGCACTGCCGGTGGAGGGGGGTGTTGTTCAGTGCAGTGTGCTCCAAACACTAAGACTCGACCTTTCCTGTCTGTTCTTGTCTGCCACAGGAATAGGGGGAGAATGGAATTCTCTTGCAGCCACGAGGCTGTCAGAATTGGTAACCAAAGGAAAAGCCATTTATTGATGATCATGCAGCAACCTGGAGGATCTGCTGTTTTGCTGCATTTTACTCCCAAGCAAAATTGCGACAGCAGGCATCTGGGGTCCCCTAATGTGTCTGCCGTTCTGGTAGTCCACAGCTGTGTAGTGCAGAGCACGGCATGTATTAATCCAGTAGCAGAGAGCCCACGCGAGATAAAGCTGGGAGAGAAGCACATTCGTAAAGCATTCAAGAAGAACGGATGGGCCTTTGCAACATCCGCTATTCTAAACACTGAGGCGATTCATCACCGGCCATTAGGCTGTGAAGGAGGCTTAAATTTGCTACTGAGAAGTTTCCATTTCAGAAGGTTTCCAACAAAGGACTCTGCTTGTTTGCATAATCATAACAGTGTTTGATGTCAATGCTGTTGTTCTAAGCCTAACATCTGCTACCTTTTATAGAACAACACTGGGGTTTCAAAGCCAACAAGGTTTTAGATTTCCCGAGGCCTTAACAAACCCAGCAGTTACCATCTTGTTCTTCTCAATCTTTCTAGAGTACCGTGGACAAACTCATTAAGAAGACAAACCTAGCCCTCGTGGTTGGCACAAACAGCTGGAGGGAGCAGTTTATCGAAGCCATCACTGTCAGTGCCGGTGAGTGCCTTTCTCCGCGTGTTATAACAGCCCCCTCTGGGCTTGGCTTTAACCCTGTAGCCACTCACTCTGGGGCCTGGGACCAAGGGATGTCCATGGGAAAATTAGCAGAGAAATAAAAGTAGTCGGATCAACACATGGACATTTCAGAGTCTAATACAGTCGATCCAGCAAATGTTTTTAAGCAAGACATTCTTCTCAAAGCCCATTGTGTAGCTAATCACTTTGGGTCAATCACACGACTTTGGAAAATTCCCTGAAAGCAAGGCAAGATGTCTACCGTGAAGGTCCGAAAGGAAGCAGCAAAATCGAAGGTGGAAAAGGATGTCCTTAAGACACATTACCGCTACCATCTGCCTCACTTTACACACTCTTCAACTAATAAATGAGCGCTAGCACTGGCTCTAGAAATGGAAACGGCTTCACATTCTGCTTATTCCTGAGTGAGCACAGGACAGACTTCTTGTTTTTGTTTTTTAAGAAAAGCCTGAGTACACTAAGTGCTAATTCTCAGAGTCAGAGATGTAAGGGTACTAAATGCAAAAAGAAGCGTCCCCTCCCTGCATTGTCAGAGCTGTCCAACTCTCTGTGTGACTGATTCAAGCCAGAGAAAAGTCCCCCTCCCATCCCTGACAGCATCACTTTCATGGGTTTTCCCCCAGGCCTTTTGCTTTAACCCACTGGATATTTTCCTCACTGGCTCATCTTCTTTTGTCGCCACTAATGAAAAAGTTAAGCTTTCTAAATAGTGATTCCCAAACTGTTAAATACGGAAACAGCATCAGCAACAGTCGGGCCATGACTTCTAGCACAACCCCCTCTTTCCAATCTGCCACCAGATAATTTGACAAATTCCCCCAGTGCTGTAAGAACAGGGGGTGGTAACAAATTGTGTGTCTGCTTATAATTAGTGCTGTTTATATTCGTGCTTTGGTTTATTATAATTCAGTATACAATGGAAATTTATGAACATTAGCTAGTGGGTAATTGCTTAGGAGAGTGGATTTGGAATTTATACTTAACTCTAATATGGGGAGAGGGACACTCCTTCAAAAGGGTGATTTTTCCCCCAGAAATCTAAGCTGGGCATCTGAGGCATGAGCTGTCCTCCCTTTTCACAGAAACCCTAAACGGACACTGATGGTTCAAATGAGAAACTGCTGACAACCCCAATAACAAAAAACATTGCACGTGCACCTGACAGTTGTATGGACTTTGGCAGATCCCAAATGCGTAGAAAAGGCAATGTATGCCCTAGTGAACCAACCCTAGTGGTTTCCATGTTCCTACGGTTATAGATGTATGCGTATCTAGGTGATGGCCGCACGGTGTCATCATCAACTCCCTTTTTCCTGCATGTCAGTCATTGTTCTTGGTGCTGGGATATGACAGTGAACAACAAGCTTGTGTCCAACTAAAGCTTGCTTTCTAAGTCTCTGTGCGCTGATGGTCCTCACTGCCGAGACCACGCAAGCTGTGAAGGGAGGCAGGAAATGTGTGTAGAGGCTGCGATTATAGATTAGGTAACGAAGATGGCAAAAGACACATCAATGCTAGACTGGTTTTCTAAGAAGTGGGGTGGTTCTGTGTGGGTCCATTTATACGTGTTCAAAACCCTTAAGGACCCTGGCATAAGTTGATGACTGTTCCATGAGATGGAAAAACGGTGACTGAACAGCTAGCCAGATTCTGCCACTAACAAGGCCAAAGTCGTGTAATTGAACAGAGGAAAAATTATAAAAATATTAATATCCGAAAGGAGGACATCTGAGTTGCAAATACTTTGATAGATATTAAGGAAAAAAAAAACCCACGTTTACAGCAAGTCAATTTCAACTCATGGCTGCTCTACATGCGTCAAAGTAGAAGTAAACGACTAACGTCTCTGTTCCTACATTGGTTTTGCTTTGTTTTGTTGTATAGTGGTAAATCTATAGCTTATAGGGCCCTTGTCAGTTCTCCAGTATTCACATGGATAGGTTAGTGATGTTAATTACATCTATCCTTCTGGAAATCCTATGTTGCTGTTATAAGGTACTGTCCTAATTCATTCCAATTCAGACCAACACTGCCTGATCCTGTGCCATCCTCATGTTTGAGCCCAACAGAGGGTCCCAGGGAGTTGGAATCACCTTGATGGCAATGGGTTTGCCTTTGAGTTTATCGGGGTGTTCAGCATCATTCCCAATGGCTCATGTTGTGGAAGCAGACCATGGACCTTTCTCCCAAGGCACCTCTTGGGATGGAGTTCACGCTTCCAACCTTTCTGTTAGCAGTTGAGCTCAGAAATAATTTCCATCACCATCTATAGTGTTTGGATTATATCCTCCCCAAGTCCCCTGAGGTGGATATAATGATAACTGTTCGTATTATGTACTAGAGGAAGTAACTGAGGCTCAATGAGGTTACGTGCCTTAGAGCACAGCTCAGAGCTTTGATTGACCAAATACTAGGCCAATGGGTGTTCTACTGCCCTTTAGAACTATAAAAATGAGGATATTTCCCCCTACTTGGGTCTCGTTGAATGGCACCAGCCTGCATCCTCTCCTATTGGCACAGTTTGATGGTTCTCATGATGAGTGTAACTCCTGTCCCAATCCTTTGAAGAACTGTTTAATGAACACAACACAAAACTCTCAAGTGTCTTTATTTTCCACACAACATACTGTGCTTTTTGTTTCCAAATGACTGCTTAGGAAGAAGGTACAATTGCTTACAAGTTTGTAGGCTGCTGGGGAAAAAATGACCTTATTTACAATTTTGAGACATAAAAGATCCGAAAAGCAAACCCATATATTATAGACACTAAATTGAACAAAGGGCAGTTATAACGTGTAATATTTGTCATTGTGATTACGTTTAAGTGTTAAAGAATGTTAATGTTCCTAGGCTGTTAAATGAACAATAAACTTTGTGAAGCAGCCTTTATTGAAAACAGACTTTCATTAGATTTTAAGATTTCATGGCTAAATACTTGAAAATCAGAAAGACTTGCCTTATTAAAAATATTAAATTGCCTTTAAAGGGCTGTGCTGAGAGCTTTTTTCCTATGCAATTTTCTGTGCGAAATTGAGCCTATATATCTTGCTAAACCAAAAATGGTGGGTTTTGTAAATAGGATTTTGCTTTTCTTTCTCGCTGATTGTTGTTAAACTCCTTTCAAAGTAAACCCATGGCAACCTCTTTGTTCCCCTACTTTTCCCAACTTCTGTAGCTCAGTACCTTGGTCTCTTATGACCACAGTGGGTCTGTGAACCAGGTTCTTATCATCTATATCAGAAGCGTTCAAGAATTTGGAAGACTACAAAGACGAGAAAGGCATTAAGCAGCCCTGTCCCAATAGATCTCCTTCTCTCGCTGCTAGGATTAATACCCAGGGCAGTGGTATACAGCAAGAAATAGCGATCAGAAACTTTCAAAGCAAATCCCACGCCCCCAGGTGCTTTTCAGATGTGTTGGCACATGCATTTCTAAATGAGACAGCATTCTTTCTACCCTGTTTGAGTTTTGCCGAAGTCCCACCTCTTCTGAGTATTTCTATGGGGACAGAATGGTGTGTTGACTTTACAAATGTTATGCCAGCTAGGATACAAGGAAGGAAGCAGGTACTTCAGTGAAACGGGAGAGCATTAGCTGGGAAAGGAGAAACAAGGCGCTAATTCCAATTTCACAACTATACCATTGTTTTTCTTCAGAATCGTCACAAGCCCTGGCAAGGTGGAGGAGCACACCTGTGTTCTAGCCCCTTCAGAAATGCCCCCGTTGACTGTGGTCACCTTCACCCCGAAATCTCAGCCCTCTCATTTGTAAAGTGGTGATCATTGCACCTCACTTGTGGAGTGGCTACAGGATTAATAAAGTCAGCATGTATTTTGACAAGGATCACCAAGACGTGGATAATAATTGGCTTGGGGGAAGGCAAATCATCCTGAAAGTCTAATAAAATATAACCAAATGTGGGGGCCATGAAGATAATCCAGCTTCATCACTAAATGGTTAAGTGACTAAACTCACCAGTTGACCTTTTTATTTTCATGTGTCAGGCGATTTTATTCATGAAAAGAGAAACTGCTAAAGCTGAGACTGCAAAAAACAAGGTAGCTGAAAATCAAAATCATAAGGAGGTCAGGCTTACTATAAAGCTAGAGACTGGTAGAACCCCCAACACAGTGGCCCTTTGTCATCCTTCAGATCCGGGTCTGATCTGATCCATGTGGGTCAACTCTTAGCCAGAAGAAAGAGGTGTAAAAGCAAGGAAAAGCAAACCAAAAGAGAACAAAACAATGTCACCTGCTAAAGATGCAAAGCTGGTAAGTGGCGGAGCCTGGGTACCAAGGAGCTTGAAATAAGGCTCTCTTCCTCAGTGTGTGTTAAGCCTCTTCCTTACAGCCTAATCCACGGTTCCTCAGAAAGGATGCAAGTCAGTTAGTTCGCTAGTAAACAAGGTGAAGTGTGGGTTTGTCTCTGTGTATCCACAGGCTTCTCCTGCCTTGAGACCTGCGACATCTTTTAAGACAGGCAAGACACAGTCTTCTCTCCTAACTGGTCATTTTTTAATGTCTTCCACTAAAGATTTTTCTGGTTCTCTTGCTACTTTGGCCATAGGCTTTACTTGGAACTTTCTGTCTCGTGCTGTCCTCTGACTAAAGGAACAGCCCAAAGGGCAGCAGCAACCACAAAGCTTGTGTGTTGTCAGGGTCACATCTCTGAACAACTGTATGAGTTTGGTAGAGTTTATCTCAATCTTCAATAAAATATGAGGGTTTTTAATAGATGCATTCTAAGAATTGACCCAATTTTGAAATGCGGGGAGCGTGTCAGTGGGCTACACCACCACTGATGACTTGTGCTCCAGGGCCGAATTGATTTAGGCAATGGAGCAGCAAGTGCTGCCTAACCACCTGGCTTGACCAAGTCACAGTCTACATGATAGTACAACAACCGGCATCCTTTCTCCTCGAAGGAAGTAGATGGGATGGTCGTCTTCTCAAATTCACTTC